TGCTGAAAGAAACTGACACCTTTTCATCTCTAAAGCATTTTCTAGGACTCAGACTCCAATATAGTTAGTCCCTGCCTGTCATTTAATCTCTTCTGCCTTTCTCAAGTTGTCCCCTCTACTTTTTTTTTTTTTTGGTGGCACCCTGCGCCTTGTGGGATTTTAGTTCCCCAACCCAGGCCTTTGGCAGTGAGAGCGAGGAGTCCTAACCACTGGACTGCCAGGAAATTCCCTGTCTCCTCTGCTTTAACTTTTGTTGGAGACTGTGTCTGATGCTTAGCATATAGTGGGTACTAAAATGTCCGCTGAATTTAATTTTTTGAATTAGTATACTTATTTATTGAATTGAGCAAGCAATTTTTTTTTTTTTTGCGATACGCAGGCCTCTCACCGTTGCGGCCTCTCCCGTTGAGGAGCACAGGCTCCGGACGTGCAGGCTCAGCGGCCATGGCTCACGGGCCCAGCCGCTTCGTGGCATGTGGGATCTTCCCGGACCAGGGCACGAACCCGTGTCCCCTGCATCGGCAGGCAGACTCTCAACCACTGCGCCACCAGGGAAAGCCCAGCAAGCTATTTTTTAATTGTTCATTTGTTTCGTCCATACTGTGTATATTACACTGCTATTTTAATAAATTTGTTATCACTAAACAAGAAAGTCCAGGTGTGAAAAATTAGTTGACTCAGTTCTATTTATATGTATGTTTTAACCTTTGGAGGAGTTTTCAGTAATGTCTATATAGGAAAGCCTTTTTCTCTCCTACAGCTTTTTGTGTTCTCTCATACTTCTACTGTTTCTTGCTGTACATACTTCAATTCTAATTTATTGCTCCTGAGGTGTTAGTACTCACTAGTAAAGTTTCCTGTTTTCCCACTGTTCTTTCTTTTTTCAATTTCACCACAGCTAACAGCATACTCAGCTCTCATGGTGTGCTTTGGGGGCACATTTATAAATGATATGTCTTAGCTGAATGTTGCCTTTGGCATATAGGTGAAAACTGATGATGGGACAGGTAAAAACAGACAAGGATTTAAATTAATACCAAGTGAATGGTGTCAATCTGTAGGGTTCCTAAGTAATAACTTAGGTCGACCCTGTCTTGAAACCTACCTAAGGTATAACTTTATTGTAAAGAAAGGGTAAATTCTTTCCCATTATTTATCAATTTTCAAAATAATGCAGTGGTCTCCTATCAGTGTGTCATTGTGAACTCATGGATTTAAACATATTTGGAGTTTTTCAATCAATTGTAATTATCTTAAAAAATTTTTTTTATTTTATATTGGAGTATAGTTGATTAACAATGTTGTGTTGGTTTCAGGTGTACAGCAAAGTGATTCGGTTATACATATACATGTATCTGTTGTTTTTCAAGTTCTTTTCCCATTTAGGTTATTACAGTATATTGAGCAGAGTTCCCTGTGCTATACAGTAGGTCCTTGTTGGTTATGCAATTATTATCTTTGTTGATGCTCATTGTCCCTTCTGGCCAGTGAGATTTTACTGAGGTTGGCTCCTAAGTGTGCTTTTGTAATATTTTTATAAATATGAAACATCAAATTTATAGAAAAGTGAAAAAATAGTACAAAGAACTCTTCCCATGCTTTACCCTGTATTTCCACTTTTCCTTTATAATTACTTTTAGCATGGCCATAAGTAGATATGACCCTAAATAATATTAGATATAGTTTTGTTGCTTTCTGGCATGAAATTGTCCCAGATTCACCTATGTACTTCCCCTGCCCTGGCTTAGAATCAATTATTTCTCAGTGGAGTCTTGGTTATTTTTAGTGGGAAATGGATTTTCAGGAGCACAGTCTAGGTGCTAGGGGGGTTACTCGTTGCTGCTGAGTTGGTCATTATTTCTAGACTTTTTTAGTAAACACAACTATGAAATATTTTAAAGATATTTATTAGTACTTTTCAAAAAAATAAATGTTCTGGGAAACTGCTTCTTCCTTTTTTTTAAAAAAAAACTTATTTTTAGTGAGTAGTTGCAGAATGTGAGATTTTCAGGATTGTACATACTGGGTTATAATAAATACTGCATTCTCTTCTGTCTGATCGTAAACTCAAATCTAGGATGTAACTGTCTTGTTCACTGTAGTATACTTCATGTGTAGCAAATAAGCATACAACGGTTATTTGAATAAGGATTAAATTTGATAATGTAAATATTATGTAAAACCTTAATATTTTGGGCATTTAATAAATCGCTCTTCTTTTTTTTTTTTTTTTGCGGTATGCGGGCTTCTCACTGTTGTGGCCTCTCCTGCTGCGGAGCGCAGGCTCCGGACGTGCAGGCTCAGCGGCCATGGCTCACGGGCCCAGCCGCTCCGCAGCATGTGGGATCTTCCCAGACTGGGGCACGAACCCGTGTCCCCTGCATCGGCAGGCGGACTCTCAACCACTGCGCCACCAGGGAAGCCCAATAAATCGCTCTTTTTATGGCTTTATATTTTCTTTTTTATAAAGTTTATTTATTTATTTTTGGCTGCATTGGGTCTTTGTTGCTGCGCGTGGGGTTTCTCTAGTTGCGTCAAGCGGGGGCTACTCTTCATTGTGGTGCGTGGGCTTCCTCTTGTGGAACACGGGCTCTAGGCACGTGGACTTCAGTAGTTGTGGCATGAGGGCTCAGTAGTTGTGGCCCACGGGGCTCTAGAGCTCAGGTTCAGTAGTTGTGGTGCACGGGCTTAGCTGTTCTGTGGCATGTGTCATCTTCCGAGATCAGGGCTCGAACCCGTGTCCCCTGCGTTGGCAGGCGGATCCTTAACCACTGCACCACCAGGGAAGTCCCCATATTTTCTTAATTTGTTTAATTTCTAGTCTTAAAATAGCCTTCATTTTTACTTTTTTCCCCTTAATTTTTCATTACAGAATTGAAGAAGATGCCCCTGCTCCTTCTACCTCTACAGATAAAGTGGAGAGGTAAGATTATTCACATGGTGCAGTTAGATTTATATCTGGAACATAGACTAAGAGCTATATAACTTGAGGGCAGTTTGTTTCATTATTTTCTTTTTTTTTCTTTTCTTTTTTTTTTAATTTTTGAAAGACAATTTGCTTTGTTTATTTATTTATGGCTGTGTTGGGTCTTCGTTTCCGTGCGAGGGCTTTCTCTAGTTGTGGCAAGCGGGGGCCACTCTTCATCGGGGTGCGCAAGCCTCTCAGTATCGCGGCCTCTCTTGTTGCGGAGCACAGGCTCCAGACACGCAGGCTCAGTAATTGTGGTTCACGGGCCCAGTTGCTCTGCGGCATGTGGGATCTTCCCAGACCAGGGCTCGAACCCGTGTCCCCTGCATTGGCAGGCAGATTCTCAACCACTGCACCACCAGGGAAGCCCTGTTTCATTATTTTCAATAGGTAACGGATAAGACTGAATGTTAAAGTACCTGTCTAAAGTATGGAGTCCTGACAATGATGTCATCAGGTTTTTTTGTATTTGATTAAAATATTAGAATTGAAAAACTTGTTTAATTCTTCTTACTTAGTACCCAACATGCCTGGCAAACGCTAACTTATTTTTCTGTTGTTGTGGCATGCAGGCTCAGTAGTTTTGGCTCACGGGCTCTAGAGCACAGGCTCAGTAGCTGTGGCGCATGGGCTCAGTTTCTCTGCAGCATGTAGGATCTTCCCAGACCAGGGCTCGAACCCGTGTCCCCTGCATTGGCAGGCGGATTCTTAACCACTGTGCCACCAGGGAAGTCCCTAACTTATTCTTTTCTTGAAAAATATTTTATTTATTTATTTATTGGCTGTGTCAGATCTTAGTTGCAGTGCAGACCTCTCTCTAGTTGTGGTGCACAGGCTACTCTGTAGTTGTGGTGTGTGGGCTCTCTAGTTGTGGCACATGGGCTTATTTGCCTTGCAGCATGTGGGATCTTAGTTCCCCGCCCGTGTCCCCTGCATTGGAAGGCAGATTCTTAACCACTGGACCAGCAGGGAAGTCCCTAACTTACTCTTTCTTTGAATACTTCTACTGATTTAGATCTCTGTTTTGTAAGGTTGCCATTTTCAATTTTGTTGTTATTCTGGTTGAAAGTTTTAAATTTTATATTGAGCTCACATGTACTTCCATGTAACTTCCCCATTTGGATGTGACCGTGGTTTTTAACCAGAGGTAAGCATAATAATTAATTAACTGGAAAGCTTATCCGAAAGGTAAATGCCTGGGTTGCATTCCTAGAGATTTCATTTCTTAAGCTTTGAGTGTATGAGTGTTTTGGAAAAGCTTCCTGTTAAATCTTAAGCTCACTTAAGTTGAAAATTACTGTTCTAAATTCTGTTTAATCCTTTTTGCAAAATATCTGCACTTTTTCTTTTTAAGCGTCTTTTAAGTTTTTCATTTGTTTTATCATTTCACATTGTGGTCTTAAATTCCATTGTTATCTTGGTTATTAAAACCATGTCTTTTATAAATACTACCTACTGATCTGTGAGTCAGTCTCGTTTTGGGGTGGAAGGAGTATTGCTCAGGATTGGTCCTAAACACACATTCGCATAACCTTTTTAGAGTCTTGGTATATACCATAGTATTAAATTTCTGGACTGAGGATAAGGTATAAATGTGGCTAGGCTACTTGACCCCTGAAACACTGCTGATAGGTGATTATTAATATTCTAAGCATTGATGATCTTTTGAGGAGCATGATAATCTGATTCTGAGAGAAACTTGGAAGGATGGTTGGAAAAAACATGACTAGTCTCATAAATTTGTAACAGCTGATCTGAAATGGTTATTTAGTACTGCCTGGCATCTATAGCATGTTTCCCTGGCCAAGTTGTTCTCCCATTCTGCTGAGTAACTTCTTAACATTCAGTACCGTCACCTGTCTTCTTGCTCTTACTTGATGATTTTACTTTTTAAAAAAATTTGGGGACTACCTGGTGGCGCAGTGGTTAAGAATCCACCTGCCAACACAGGGGACACGAGTTCGAGCCCTGGGGAAAATCCCACATGCTGGGGAGCAACTAAGCCCGTGTGCCACAACTACTGAGCCGGTGCTCTAGAGCCTATGAGCCACAACTGCTGAGCCCATGTGCCACAACTACTGAAGCCCATGTGGCTGAGCCCACGCTCCGCACCAAGAGGCCACTGCAATGAGAAGCCCATGCACCTCAACGAAGAAGTTGCCTGCGTGCAACTTCTGAGAAAGCCTGCATGCAGCAATGAAGACCCAATGCAGCCAAAAATAAATAAAATAAATAAATTTATAAAAAATTTGATTGTTCAGTAATAAGCAGTTGGGAAGAGGAGTTTCTTAATCTATCTTAAATCTGTACCCACACATTCTTTTCTTTATTTTTTCTTTTTTTATTTGTTTGTTTGCTCTCGGTCTTTGTTGCAGCCGGCGGGCTCCTTAGTTGCGGTACGCAAACTCTTAGTTGTGGTGGGATCTAGTTCCCTGACCAGGGATCAAACCCAGGCCCCCTGCATTGGCTGCATGGAGTCTTATCCGCTGTGCCACCAGGGAAGTCCCACATTCTTCTGGATGTGGGTCCATGCTCTTATTCAGAGGTTCTCAAGGTGCAGTATGTATGCCCCTGGGATCCCCAAGACCCTTTCAGAGGTTCCGCAAGGTCAAAATTTTTCGTAATTGGTAGACCATTTACTGTTTTCACTGGTTGACATTGGCACTAATGGTGCAAAAGCAATGGTGGGTAAACCTGCTGGCCCTTTATTTAACAAAGGTCAAGGCAGTATAAGTAGTTCACTCCCAGTTTCACTTCTGTTGCTTCCATGATGAAGCAATAGAAACTAATAAATTTATTCTCAGTCCTTCACTACATGGTTTTAGAATAATCTGTGTGACAAAATGGGAAATAGGAATGCTAATTCTGCACCCTGAAGTAGGTAGGTAAGATGGTTGTCTTTAGGAAAAGCATTTGTGTGACTGTTTGAATAAAGAATTAAATTTTGGGGGCTTCCCTGGTGGCGCAGTGGTTGAGAGTCCGCCTGCCAGTGCAGGGGACACGGATTCATGCCCCGGTCCGGGAAGATCCCACATGCCGCAGAGCGGCTGGGCCCGTGAGCCATGGCCGCTGAGCCTGCGTGTCTGGAGCCTGTGCTCCGCAACAGGAGAGGCCACAACAGTGAGAGGCCCACATACCGCAAAAAAAAAAAAAAATTTCCTGGAATTCTGGATTTCAAAGGATGAACAACAGACTGATTACTCAGACTTGGGTATTTGGCAAACGGTTTCTCAAAAATTAAAAGTGAGGCTGTCACTTTAAGGGAAGCAACTGAGAATATCTGTTGTCAGTGATAGAATTTGAGCTTTCAAATGAAAATAAATTAAAATCTTAGAAGTTGTATTGACTACCGTGAGCCTGTCTCATGTAGTCCCAATATTTTTTTTTTTTTTTTTTTTTTCTTGCGTTATGCGGGCCTCTCACTGTTGTGGCCTCTCCCATTTGCGGAGCACAGGCTCCGGACGCGCAGGCTCAGCGGCCATGGCTCACGGGCCCAGCCGCTCCGCGGCATGTGGGATCTTCCCGAAACAGGGCACGAACCCACGTCTCCTGCATCGGCAGGCGGACTCCCAAGCACTGCGCCACCAGGGAAGCCCAAGTCCCAATATTTTAAGACTCTTCTGATGAAGTTGGTGGTGGTGGTGGTGGTGGTTGTTGTTTTTTATTGTGGTGTAATGCATATAACATAAAATTTACTATCATAGGGTAACCACTGGTGGTCCAGTGGTTAAGAATCTGCTTCCTGATGCAGGGGACTAGGGTTCGATCCCTGGTCGGGGAACTAAGATCCCACATGCCACGGGACTACGAAGTCCACGCGCTCTAGAGCCCGCGCTCTGCGGCGAAGATCCTGCCTGCCACAACTAAGATCTGATGCAGCCTGATAAATAAATAAATATTAAAAAAATATTGCCATCATAACCGTTTTTAAGTGTACAGATCAGTAATGTTAAGTACATGTACGTTACTGTGGAGCCAGTCCCTTCTTGCAGAACTGAAACTCTCCACCATCCATCTCCAGAACATTTTCATCTTTCCCAACTGAAACTCTACCCATTAAACAACGTCCCATCTCTTCCCCCCGCCCCTGGCAGCCATCATCCTACTTTCTGTCTCTGTGAATTTGACAACTCTAGGTACCTTTTATAAATGAAATCCTACATCGTTTGTCTTTTTATGACTGGCTTATTTAATTTAGCATAGTGTCTTCAGGGTTAATCCATGTTATAGCATCTGTCAGAGTTCTCTTTTTAAGGCGAATAATATGCCATTGTATGTATAGACCACATTTCGTTTATCCATTCATCTATCGATGAATACTTGAGTTGATTCCTTTTGGCTATTGTGAATAATGCTGCTATGTATATGAGTGTACAAAATCATTCATGAATAGGTCTATTCAGAGTACAAGATAGAACAATGATTTTTATTTTATTTAAATAAATAAATTTATTTTTTGTTGCATTGGGTCTTCATTGCTGAGGGGGCTTTCTCTAGTTGCAGTGAGCGGGGGCTTCTCTTCATTGCGGTGTGCAGCCTTCTCATTGTGGTGGCTTCTCTTGTTGCAGAGCACAGGCTCTAGGCGAGCGGGCTCTAGAGCACAGGCTCAGTAGTTGTGGCTCACGGACTTAGTTGCTCCGTGGCATGTGGGATCTTCCTGGACCAGGGCTCGAACCCGTGTCCCCTGCATTGGCAGGCAGATTCTCAACCACTGCGCTATCAGGGAAGTCCCAGAACAATGATTTTTAATGTAACAGTATGAAAAGTTCGTCAATATATTTTCAGATTCTGCATTGCAAATAACCTTTAAGGAACTACCACTCATTGAGTTTTGGTGTAGTATCAGAGAAGAAAATCCACAGCCATTTACAAGATTATTCAAGGGAATTCCCTGGTGGTGCAGTGGTTAGGACTCCGCGCTTCTGCTGCCAGGGGTCTGGATTTGATCCCTGGTCAGGGAACTAAGATCCCACAAAAAAATTTAAAAAGGTTATTAAAGTACTCCCTTTTCCAAACAGGTATCAGTGTGAGGTCAGATATTTTGTACTTAAATGAAAACAACAAATCCCAATGCGTTAAATGCAGAAAAGTGAATATGAAAATCCAGCTTTTCTATTAAGCCAGACATTGAAGAGATTTGTAAAAATGTTCAATAGTGCTTCTCACTAAATTTTTTATGTTTGGGAAATATAGTCATTTTTTCATAGAAGTCATGTTAACATGTAACATTTTAAAATAGTTAAAAATTTTTTTTAGTTTTAATTTCAATATGGTAAATACAAATAGATATTACTCACATACAGAAAGGCTCTTCAAGAGCCTTCTGTAATTTGATAGCGTAAAGAGTCTGGAGACCAAAAAGTTTGCGAGCCATTGCTCTCCTTTTTTTAAAAAAAATAATTAATTAATTTTTGTCTGTGTTGGGTCTTTGTTGCGGTGTGCGGGCTCCTCATTGCGGTGGCTTCTCTTGTTGCAGAGCACGGGCTCTAGGTGCGCGGGTTTCAGTAGTTGTGGCTCGTGGGCTCTAGAGCGCAGGCTCAGTAGCTGTGGCACATGGGCTTAGTTGCTCTGCAGCATGTGGGATCTTCCCGGACCAGGGCTCAAACCCGTGTCCCCTGCATTGGCAGGTGGATTCTTTACCACTGCACCACCAGGGAAGTCCCCATTGCTTTTCTATATAAAGACCAACATTTCCACTTGTTCAGTGGATCCCATCCTCAGTCATCTACTCAAGAACAGAGCTCTTGTAGTTCTCTATCCAGCAGTACTACTCCATTCCTGTCCTATGAGCTTATTTGTACCGCATAGTCTTATTATTTGTATCGCATAGTCTTCCCTTGGTATTCATGGGGGATTGGTTCCAGGATACCCCTGTCCCCCGCCCCCAGTACCAAAATGTGTGTATTCTCAAGTCCCTTATATAAAATGGCATAGTATTTGCATATAACCAAACACATACTTCTATATACTTTAAATTGTCTCTAGATTACTTATAATACCTAGTACAACGTAAATAGTTGTAAATATTATGAAAATGCTATGTAAATAGTTGGCCAATGTGCAGCAAATTCAAGTTTTGCTTTTGGAACTTTCTGGAATTACCACACACTGCCCCCCCGCCCCCCCAGTATTTTTTTTTTT